TCACATTTTTTTTTTGTTGCTGATTTTGAATTGTGAAATTCTAGGTGCGACTATTATGCTGGAAAATCTGCTACACAGTAGTGTACACTTTTGGCGATATTTTCTGCTTCAAAAACGAGAGTGCGACTATTATATGTGTAAACATGGCAATATTGAATGAGGGGAGAGTTTAAAAGAATTTTAATTAGTTCTCATCAGCCTAAGAATTCACACAGTTTATGCAATAAAAATGTTTTTGCATTTTACTGAATTAACAGAACTAAAAAGTTAAAGTAAAATGTAAGTATGTAAAATATGAAACTGAAAAAATAAAATCTGCCAGTAACTTTTAACTCAGGCCTTTGATTTAAGCAAGCAAGCATGGTTAGCAAAGGCTAAAGCTGATTCAAGTTAATTCTTAAGTTTGGAGAAAATCATATCAAGATGGTCAACGATCATTGCCAAACACTCGCTCTCAATTTCAAGAACTCTTATCTAATATATGTTATAACTAATTTGAATACTTATATATATATATTAGTGCATTCATCTTGAAGCAGTTTGGTGATTTTTTGCAGAAGAAAAAGAATGATTGATAATTGCAAAAAGTTATTTATTACATGCATATTTTGCATTTTAATTGGATAGGCATTGGTAGAAATTTTGTGACGATTGCTTTAAGGATATATTCAAAGAAATTGACCTCTTTTACAACTTAAATATGAAATACTGTATTCTTTCAGAAATTGTAAATCCCACAAGCATCAAAATTGAATTTAAAGCTAAAAATATCATGAATTGTTTATAAAAACAGTTGGAACTTTAAGTACAACAAAAAGAGCATATATGAAAATGACAACATTGCTTGTTAAAAATGAAGAATTGTTATACACAGATTTGCCAGATTTTTGTCGCATTAAAAAAATTTGACGATTTTTACTAAGGCATTGCATTAATACACAAGTGCTCTTACATCCTTATGGAAGTTGACAAAAGTAGAAATGATAGTATAGGGAAAACAATAACTGGTTAATAAAATAAAAACCATAAAATATTTGTTTTTGTTACTTATTATCCTGTTTATCCTGAAACTGTTACCTTGCCAGTTATGGATAAGCAGGAGGTAAAGCACACTCGCAGCAGCTGCATATTCCTTTGGTAATAACAATTGATTATCAGTAAGCCACCTTCTGTTTTTATAAACAAGGACATAAATTAACTGTTATTGGGGTATTTTCCTTTTCATTTTGAGGGAAAAAAATAAATATAGGACCTGCATTTTACAGAATAACTAGCGTGTATTAATCTGAAAGTTGTGGATCTTGCCCCTCCACCCCCCCCCCCCCCAAAATAAGCATGGATCTTCTTTATGTTGAGTTTGTCAGGTATCCGGCACCTCTGCCAAATAGCACCAAACTCAATGCTTCTTAGCTCCATTTTTTTTTTTTTTTTTTCTTCTTAATAGAGGTCATGTGTAACTCTTTAGTATTGAGAATACCTAAAGTTGAGTAACTTGAGTTGGTCATTTCTGTCTCACTTGAAGGATTCATTTCTGCTTCTTCAGTTGATTTCCTTTTTTTTAGAAGAACCTCAGAAGATTTGCCTGCAAAAGTAGAATTTTTAATTATATTGTCATTTTCAACCATATATAAACTAAAATAAAAGCACAGGGTAAAAAATGTCCACCCAGTATTGCCTATTGCTGGGTAAGGCAAAATACTCTAGAAGTTGCCAGGCATTCTAGAGGCTCCTATAAAGAGAGGTTTCATAATATTGGGAAGCCTAATAAAATAGTAGAAATCAATGAAAGCCTTTTTACAAAATGAAGAAACAAAACAGATTGAATACTAGTTCTTTATATTAAATAAATTCCATCCCTTCAGAATTCTGCAGAAAGGACGGTATAGCTTTGCTAGGGCCTCTGCCAATTTTCATGGCTCGATGGTAGCCAACTTTTATGGTCGATAGGATAATATGTAGGTACCTTTTTTTTTGATATGATATAAGAGTTTAATTTCCTCCCTTTTTTTTAAAGCTCTTTTTTGCCTTTTGGTTTGTTTTTATTTTTGTTCTTGTGTTTATAAATTTTCATTTTATATTTTTTCAGTTTAATTCATGGGACAGGAATGCTGTCATAAATAATACTTGAGTAAAATGTTGTAAATTTAAACACAAATGTTTTTCATTTGCACAACTTGATGTATGGTGTAATTGTATTATGTCATATATATATATGACATTTTTGAGAAGAAGCTTAAAATTTTTTCCCCCATCATGAAGCTGATCTGTTCTTTTTTATGTACTTTTCTGGAAGTATTTTTTTACTGTATTGTGTTTGTATTCTTGATGTAATATCAGGTGATAGCATAATATTGTGTAAATGCTGTAGGTATTTATTCCACCATTTAATTGTGAAAAATAATTCCCACAGTTTATTTAAAAATAGAAAAGTCATCCAAAAGGGTTCTGTGCATAAACACTGTGTAATAAGTGAACCTTGGTTCTTGTTTTAATTTGTCAACATGTTGAATACAAAACTTCCTAAATTGGACTTTGGTTGGTTCCTCCATCATTTAAGTAAATAATTGTTATTCACTGCAAAGTTTTTGATTAGACTTGATTTCGGTGTATTTCTTGGGCTTAGTAAAAATTCTTAAGTGACAAAAATGTTTTAAGTTTTTTTTAAAAAATCTTTGCTGTTTGTCTTTTATTGTTAAAAAAAAGTGTTACCTACCACTTTTATTTCAAATTATATTATTAATCACATATAAGTAGGCTTATCATAATATATTTTGCTCAAACCAGAACAATTTTGAGAAAATATAACCTAATAGGAAAAGTATCTATGATTGAAAAGACTAAATAAAGAAGTTATTAACAAAAGGACAGTGAGTTAAAGGATATTTTTAATAACTTAACCAACATACCTAATTATTAAGTATATATTAGTATTTAATCACCAGTGTGAACTTTCTTTAAAAAATGTTTGTTATTTTTAATGAGATCAAAAGATTCACTGTGATTTAGTTTAATTTTGCAACTTGGTGAAGTACAATTAAGTTACTCTACCTTTTTTCTTCACACCATAAGATATTCATTATTGAGAAAGGCCCTTTGTACTGATGCTGATGTGCCTGGCATGCTGAAAACATATTCTATTATTCAAGGTTGGGCAATGAAATGTGTTTTTCCTCAAAATGACCGAAAAATTGTATCCATTTTTCTTCTTTCAACTTTCATAATCAGCTTTTGCAATCATTATTTCATCAAAAGGATGATCCATGTTTATTGTATTATTTGCGACAGTGTCATGATTTTTTTCATTTGAAGCTTCAATTTAAAACCATGTTAATTCATTGTTATTAATTCAAGATTCTGTTACTGCAAAACTCTTTTCCCAAAGTTGAAGGTAAGAAATCTAAAGAGCTTGTAGAAATACTTTTCCAGATAAAATTAAAATGCTGTAAACCTTCTGTAAAAATGTAGGACTGTATAGATATTAATTGTGTGCATTCAGCACATTAAAAATTTTTAATTATAACCGGGATAAAATGACCAACCGGTTGGGACATAGGGATAACATTATCAGACTGGGAAGGTCCTGATCAAAGCAGGATATGTGGTAAGCCCACATATAAAGATGTTAATTTCATATTATTATTGTGACAAATTTCAAAATATTGTGAAAAATGAAATTTGTTATGAATTGTATATTTAAAAATTAATTTTATCTACAGTCAAAAGTCGTTAATCCGGACTCGTCGGGACTTCGGCGATTCCAAATTATCGATTTTTCCGGATTATAGATCATCAGTTTAAATCTGGTAAGATGGCATGCAGAAATTATAAAATTAAAAATATGAAACCATAATTTATGAAATAAAGAACAATTATGATCTAAAGGATATCAAAATTTACAAAAAGAAAAAGCTTAATATTTATTTTTTTACTTTATTAAACATTTCTTTCAATGTAAGTTGTTTAAGTTGCTTCGTTTCATGTGATAATACTTTCTCTTTAATTCTATTAAACAGACATAATTTCTTGTTTAGTTGCAAAGTTCCGCTGTTCAAGTCCTATAATTGCTGTGTCGAGAATACCGACTAATTTGTTAGTGGAAATTTTTTCGTTTTCAATAACCTCTGTGTCACTTTCTTCACTATTGGAAGCGAATTATAATGACGAGGAGCTTGATTTAAATCATATCAAAGACGGAGTACATCGAGATGAAATACTACATTTAGTAAGGAATTATAAGCTAAATAAAAAAAAAAAAAAAAAATCTGCTCTGAAGATAAGGATAGTGCTGACAGATCAACTTCCAATTCATTGCGCGCCGCGTCGTTTCCCTTCCCCCCACGCAGAGCACCGTGAAATTGATAAACATATTTCGGAATGATTAGATAATCAAAGAATATGCCTTTATCCATTTTTTGCAGCAATTCCGCTTTCTGTTTAATGGACTTCGAAACATACTTTCGCTTTGTAGATCCTTTACATATTAGTAAATATATATTGGAAATTCTATTTGACATAATTGAAAGTTCAAGCTTACTTTTATAAAATCCCTCTAACAATCTGTGAAAAATAATAAGCTGGATCCAATTCGAAGATTAAGGAACAACGCAATCTGCAACATTAACTGAATTAGATAATTTTAGCTTAGCTTATACCGTCCGTTATACATTAAACACGCATGCGTAAACGTATTATGTGCATGCGCACACGCATATTCGCAGCTGTAAAGGTCTTATGCGCACGCGTAAACGCCTATGCGCTTGACGCATGCGTAGAAAGTTTTTAGCTTTGAGGTCCAGATTATAGATCATTCCGGATTATGGGTGTCCGAATTAACGATTTTTGACTGTATTACTTTTTTGATGGGATACATTTATTAAAAGCAGTATTTGTAAAATTGTGGAATATTATAATAATAAATACTTTTGAATTGATATTTATCAGTTTTGTTTTCGTTATTTCATTTATTACTTAACAGTAAAAATTTTGAATTTTTCTTGCAGCTAATTCACCAAAAAATCCATACTGTGATGTTGAACTCACTGAAGAAAAATTACAAGCCTTTATATATGCTGTCAAGAATCACTATTGGTATCAAATGTATTTAGATGATTTACCTGTGTGGGGTTGGTAATTTTTTGATAAAATCTTATTTTTCTATAATAATAAATAGACAATAATTATGAAAGAGGCAATAATTATAAAACAGTAAAATTACAAATGATTAATGAATATTTCGTTCAATAATGAGGGGATCATATGTCTTAATCTTTACGATCCTTATTTTAATTGACATCAACATTATTGCCACATTCATATTTACTTCTCAGAAAGAGATTACAATACATGGAGATGCTTTTCTCCAGTCTAATTATGCTGCTTTTAACAATGCAACTGTGAAAAGTGGTCTTTATAGCAATATTTTTCACTGCAATTTTTAAAATTTTATTAATACCAAATAAAACTAATTAATTTTTATTTAAAATCTATAGGTATTAAAAAGCTTTACTTGTATACTTGCAGGTATACTTGCAGATAGCTTGTAAATGTTTCTTAATTTGAATAGCTAGCTTTCTTGTTGGTGTTAGCACTAAACACTGCAAAGCATGGAACTCAGAATCAGCTTCACACCAGAAATGAGAAAAAATTGTAAATAAAAATATCGTCATATATACTTCCATTTTTTGTTTAAAGATAAAATACCACTCAAAACAGGTATACCAAAAGTCAGCATTTTTCCACTTCCCTAAAATATTTTAGATTAAATTATTAAAAAAATCAAATATACACAAATACATATAACTAAAAAATTAGATTCTAATTCAAAATAATATCTTTTCCTATTTGAAATTATTTAATACAGTCAAAATCTGTTAAAATGAACTTCAAGGGATTGAGTTTAGTTTGCCACATCTTTATCTATCAAGTTCATTAATTAAAAATTCGTTTTACAAAATATGAAATAGATAATAAAACAACTTATAAATTTTGGCTTCCAAATACCCACGTTTGAGTGGAGGACTACATTATTCAAAATTTGATGTCTCAAGGTATGTTGTTTTTTCACAGTGCGAGAAACGTACATAAATTCATGCAGATTCATTAGTATTTAATTTCTTTAAATATAATGCAGAGCTCTAATATTTGGAGGCAACAATTTGAAAAGTGAAACACCATTTATAGTGAATTGATGCAAAATAACAAAACGAATTTTGGGCAAATTGCCCCTCTGTGTTAAAAATTTGTACACTTTATATTTTCCAGAAAGGAACTGTGACATCAACCTTTAGCTATGCATAATTGTATTTGTAAGTTATGCAGATAATGTTTTTTTTCGCCCGTAAGATGTAATTTTTTTTTAACATGTTCTAAAGTTTTATGAATATGCATGCAATCTAACAATACATTATATGGTATTTATCAAAGCTTAACTGGTGTTTGAAAAACACCTTTTTTGTAAAACAGTTGTGTTAGAAAAAATTGGTTAAATTTTGGTATCTGCCTTATTTAGAATAGCAAGCAATGGATTATTTTCAAACTGATGGAATCATATCATAAAAAAGTGTGTATTAATGGACATGATATGGTCAGCTGAATATAGTGGACAAAACATTAGATTGGAATAATTACCTAAGGAAAGTTTGTACTCGTAGCATTCTAAACAGTATTTCTGATGGATTGGGAGGGCCTGACAAAATGATAGAAGTAAATGAAAGCCATTTTACGAAGCACAAAAACAAGTGGGCTGAATACTGATTGTTTATTAAAGTTATAAAATAAATGATTGTTCATTAATGAATTAAGTTTTTATAAAAACGATACTTATGTTATATTCATTGTGTTCTAACTTTCCTTGGAGACTGTGAATCTTCTAAAGCCTGTTGCTTCATTTCAGAGTCTTATGTTTAAATCAAAATGATTACTAGACTGTGGTGAGTAAGACTAAGGAGTTGGTATGTGCAGATGGTGTTAGATTCTACCCAGTTAAAAGCTTTTCAGGAACTATTCCAGTCATGTTTTTATATAGGGTGGTGCAAAAGTTACTTTCCGATTTATTTTCCTCATAACTTTTATAATTGAAGATAATTATTTTGTTTTGAATGAAAAAAAGTTCTGTTAATTTTTTTAATTGAACATTTAAATATTTTAATGGCGGGTACTAGCCATTTTATAGGCTTTCCCCCACTATTAAAGCCAGAAGTGGTGGTCATTTTATTATGGAGGCACCTAATAAGCAGCTACCTACCATTACCTTCTGTGAAAGGGCAGACAATTTACATTGATGCTCTCTATGAGATTTAAACCCAGGCCCTAACATTTATATCTGATATTAAATAATAATTATAATAATATTAAATAATATCTGATAAATAGTATCTAAAATTGGCACGAGACACAATTCTGTGTCTGAATTTTCAGCAACTCTTTCCTGCATCGCTTCCAGTGTTCACTACAGACTGAGTGGTTCTCATTCTTCCTATATGCATTCGTTCTGCAATGGACACCAATTATTGAAATACTTGAACCAGATTTCATATGGTTGATTTCGAGGGTGCCTCTTGGACATTATCGATAAGCTCATTGTGTTGTGGTTACAGAGCGATTGTTTTTAACAAACAGCTGCACAGCTTTGACACGTTGTATAGGTGTATATTGCTGCATGTCAAACAAATCTCCTTGAGCTGTACGTTAACTTAGTAGAGAAGCATTTGAAGCTCAGTAGCACTGTATCATTTTAAAATTGTAGAGTAACTTTTTTGCCATCCTCTAGAAATGCTGAAGAGGATTGTGAAGAAGATGGAAATAGCTTTTATTCAAGGAAGTTTTTTAAATTTGGCTGGTCTTGTGCATGTTTTCTTTTTGATCAGCATAGTATTGTAACATGATTGGCGACAGCAGTCATGAACATTATTGTGGTGATGAAATGTTTTCTTTTGCAAGTTTGGTGGTTTTTTTTCTCTGTCTAGCATTGTCAAATGTCATCAAACAAAATTTGTCTAGCTTCATCAAATTTCTCCATCCACATCCATGGGTAAATCCACCCCTTCATTTTTAGCATTTCATCTCCTAATCACACCATGGAATTATGTGGACATTTTTGATACAGACAAAATCAAATGTGAGCAAATTGTGTCTCAGATGATTGACTAGAATATACATATTATAATTCTTTAATTATGCCTTTTTAATTTTTTACAACTTTTTCAAATGTATACCATCTTTTTGGATGGAGGGAGTATATCAAATACATATATGGAATACATCAATATGTATGGAATTGCCATTTTAATATAAATTTTTTGTTTATAGTATCTCGACATATTTAAAAAAAATATTTCTGTAGGAATTGTTGGCGAATTTGAAGAGTCAGAAAATGCTTATTATTTATGGACTCACAAGAAATTCGATATTGGATACAATGGCAATCAGATAGTGGATGTGAATTTGACAAGTGAAGCTAAAGTAAAACTGGAAAAGGGTAAAAAAATTACCTTCACTTATGAGGTGAGTCTGTGAAGAAACTCCTTTACAGTGTGTCATTTAAGAATATTCTTCTCAGAGATATCAATTAATGAGCCAAGTTTCTTTTTACTTTTACTGCTGAAAACTATGATGCGATGAAAATTTTAAATCTAATAGATGTTAGAAATCTCTCATCAAATATCTATTTTAGAAAATTTTTTGCAATTCTTATTTATGATTAGCTAGGACATGTAAGAGTGCATAAAAATATTCTTTTATATTAATATCTGAATTGTTAATGGTGTTATTTAGCTTTATGGTAGAATACTAAAATGAATTTTTTTAAACTTTTTTATCATTTATTTAATTATGATTTATGTGATTTCAGCTTCGTCAGAAGTGTAATATGCTGTTATTTTCTTTTGCATATTTCTGTATAGAATATTTGGTACTTCCTAGTAGCAACCACCACACTGGGCTGCCAAAATTGGTAGTTTCTCGATCTGTTGCCAAAGGCTTATGTGGTGGCTGCTTTAACAGTGATGTTTTTTATTAAGTGTAAATATAGATCAGTTATTAACTGTACACTTTTTAGTGCCATTTTAATTTAAGTACATGTTTTTGCTGCCATTTTAATTTAAGAAGTTGCATATTAAAATTTATTAAAGATTTTAGGCAAGTGTATAGAATAAACTATAATGAAACTGTAAATACTTCTAAATAGCTTTGCTCTTTTTTTATTTTTTAAGGTCAATTGGAAACCATCAAATGTTAAATTTGAAGACCGATTTGACAAATATTTAGATCCTAGTTTCTTTCAACACAGGGTAAGTTATTTAAAAACATTTTTTTCCTAACATGTGCATTAGCATTTTGTTTTGTTATCTGCAGCCCATAAGATACATGTTTTTCATTTTTAGATCCACTGGTTTTCTATCTTTAATTCCTTTATGATGGTTATTTTCCTCGTTGGACTCGTGAGCATGATTCTAATGAGAACATTACGCAAAGATTATGCAAGATATAGCAAAGATGAAGAAATGGATGATATGGTATTTATCTTTCTGTTTAACACAGAAATGTAATAATTAAATGCTATAAAATGTGTCTGAAATTAAATGATTAATAATAAATTTTCTAGATTTATTTTATCAAAGGGTCATTTAAATTAAAATCGATTATATCAGTAGAATTAAATAGCATTAATCAAACCCTTCATTTATTTAATTTTTTTGTAGACTTTTATTGTGTGCCATTATTTTAAGCACCTCCATTGAATAAATATTTTCATACTTCTTCTTCTTCTTTTTTTTTCTTCTGTATAAGCATTTTAAAAATTTACCATGAGATTAAAAAAACTGCTCATTCTGTGATTTAGTTATCTGATACTTGATGATAATTTAATTTACTTGGAAGTGTTGGTTTGGTAGTCACTTGGGTGAAGTTGATGCCCGCTGATATACAGCCAATAACATTGTGGGTAACCCTAGGTGCTGTCCTGAATTCTTTTAAAAAAATGCCATCTTTTGTTTTGTTCTCTTTTGTGTTAATTTATTATTATTGATTATGGGAGCTCTGAAAGTGTGGCAATGGCTAGTTTTTTTATGTTCAACATCTACTTCAAACCAATTAAAGGAAGGATTTATCTGCACTGTGTTATTTTTTATGGAACCCTTTTCTCACAGAAAATTCTTGGGATAGGGCTAGTTTGTGTCTTGTTAATTTTTACTATATTTTGCATCATGCATTCAGTAGAATTGCTAAGAAATGAAGCTATCCGTTATTTTCAGGGGTGTACTCAATTCTCGTGAATTGCATGGTCTGAATCATACGTGACAGAAGATGTAGGATGGAGATGTTAACAACTGCAAATAAGAACTGGGAATTTGTTTCAAAAAAGTCATTTGTTCTACTTAGCAGTGTTCGTGTAGGGGCAGAAATGAACTGTAGAGAATAGCTATCTGCTTGATTTAATTTTGAATATAATTGCTTAACAATATCTGCCAGAAAACAAAACTGTTAAATCAATCTGCTAACTTAAAAAAATTATTTCATAGCCAAAAAGCAATAAATGGTACTTACGTATTAACGCAACCAGGCCAAAATTCACATAAATTGCCAAATTTGGCGACCCTACGTGTTATACGTAGTTTTGTAAAAAGAATTTATTTGTAAAAAGAAAAAATAACACTCGGCGTGTACTACCACAGCGATGGGTTTTCGGCGGAATTTGCCGAGAAAAGAAAGAGACTTTTTTGGTTACTGTACCTAACAGAAGCGCCGTTACCCTCATGGAAAAAATTTGCGAAAATATCAAGGAACGAAGCATCATTTATTCGGATTGCTGGAAAGGATACAATACAAGTGAGTTCGAAAATGCTGGATTTCTGCATGGAACTGTTAATCACAAATATAACTTTGTGGATCCCAACACGGGCGTTCACACACAACATGTAGAGCGCATATGGGGCTCAGCCAAATGGCACAACAAAAAACAGAGAGGAACAGCCCGTCATCGTCTTGACTCATACTTTATCGAATTTATATGGCGCCAAGCTCAAGCTGTTAATGGCGAAGACGGTTTTCAATCAGTGCTAAAAGCAATAGCCAAAAGATTTCCGCCAAAAAAATAATTCTGAAACTTATTCAAATTCGAAACCGGAAGGGTTTAATTGCTATTTTATATTTTAAAACAAAATAATATAAAAAACTGTATTAAAAATTATCAGTAATTAATAAATGTACATTTTCTTTCTATTCATACTTTTTACTCAAACTTGCAAATCGCGCCAACCTGGTTGCGATAATACGTAAGTACCCATTAAATTTGTGGGGATATATTAGCAGTTATCAGCTAATACTTGAGTATCTTTGAAGTTTCTGTGATCAACTACTTTTGATTGATGTAGATAGGCAACACCTACTGTTATAGATGTGGCCCATATTAATTATGAGGTTTCAGGAAATGATTTCATCTAGAGTACTAACTGGATTCATGTTATCAAATTACAAATTTTGCTGGGCTAGCCTAAGTTTTATGTTCTTATGCAATAAAACATTTCTATGCAAACTTCATCATGAGTGTAAGTTTTAAAATTCTTTTAATGACAATTTGAGTTTATGAATGCTACTTTTTTTAATAGATGCCTTTAAATCTGATTTAATTATTCATTTGTTAGGAGTAGGAGACTAAGCTATGAGGAAATTGGAAGGTTGGATGATTGGTGGTATTTTTTAGTTTTAGGCTCCAGTACCATAACTTTGATATTATATATAATATTCTTCAGGTATTCTCACCAATGTGACTGCAGATTCTGATTTCTTCTATGAGAATTCTAGCTTTTTAGTATAGGGATGGACTGCAAACTGCAGTTTTTGTCATTTTTGGCAAAATCTCCTGCCTTGATTCCTGGTGAATAGGCTGTCTGCATAGTTGGTTTTTGTGGTTTTGCCCAGGTTTAATGTGAATATGAGCCAGTTTCCCAGCTCTCTATGAAGGGCTATTTCTAGTATGAGGCAGATAGTCCTCATGTGCATTGATACATTAAAATAATCTAACTTAACATCTCCCTTTATTTAAGGCGGAAATCTTGAGGATCACTTTATATACTGAAATTGTAATTAAACCTTTTTAGTTTTAGAGTCATCGTACTCGTATATCAATTTAAAAATCAGTTTCGATAGCGACATTTTATCGGAATTTCGGTTTATTATCTTTTACTTTAAATTGTAACTAGTTAGAAGTAGCTGTACTGGATATTTGCAAATACATGTTACTTCAAACATTCTAATGCTTTTTCCTTTTTAAAAAATACAAAAATTTCTTTCTTTAATTAATCATTGATGTATATTGTCTGAGATTGGTGTTGAGCCAACTGACACATTTCATAGTTGAAAATTGTGACATTGTGATAGCTTAATGCAGTTGGTAGGAACTGGAACAGTTGAGGAAAATACACTGTTTCATTGTCACTTGCAACTGAATGTTGGAATATATAATAGTTGGAAACATTAATGTAAGGGAACATTTTCCTGGGGATGGTTATGGGCTCCAGAGGTGTATCATAACTATTCAGGAATTCAAACAAATCTCTGCTGATAAAAATGAAGCTATTAAGAAGGATTTTCAGGGGCAGATGTTTCATGTTTCTAGACATGCTTGTAACAGTGCATTGTTGTAAAATAGGGGTCTTCAACCCATGGCCCGCTGAAGGCATTTTAGTGGCCCCACATTTGAATTTGAAGAAAAATTGAATTTTAAGAAATTTTGATTTTAAGAATTGCCTTGTCAGCTTGTTGTAAAAAAATTTTTTTTTCTCTTATTCTTGATATATAAGACATTTTATTGACATGCCTGATATTATTTGAGATGAAATTTTCTGAAACTCAGAAGCGTTTATGGTCTTTCAAATGTGTTGGCAAGCCATGTAACAAAAAAAGAAAAGTTGAAGGAAAAGTGAGATATTTTTCAAGAAAAGTGATCAGATCTTTATTTTTTGTTGTACATAAGGGCAAGGCAGTTTGCCTTATTTGCAACGACAGTATAGCTGTGATGAAGAAATACAACAATAAGAGACATTATGATACTCAGCACAGTGAGAAATATTCTGCATTGGAAGGTCATTTTCGAAGTGATAAGGTGAGTGAATTGAAATCGGAACTAAATTTTCAGCAGTCTTTCTTCGCCACAGTGAATAAAGAAATGTACTATAATAGTATTCGTGTTAGTTACATGCTAGCAGAAAAATTCACTAAGCGTGGAAAACCCATTGCTGATGGAGAATTTGTAAAAGAATGTCTTCAGAGTGCAGTTGATGTGCTTTGTCCATCACAAGCTCAAGTCACTGAATATTAATTAGCTTGTCTGATGTGACAGCAGCAAGATACACAGAGGATCTCACAACAGATATATTCAGTAAATTAAAATCCAAATGAAAAAAAAAAAAAAAAGTTTTATTCTGTAGCGATGGATAGGAATCATCAGATGCAACAGATACCGCACAAGTAGCCATTTTATTCGTGGCATTGATAGGAACTTCACAATTACGGAGAAATTAGCCAGTGTCGTTGCACTTAAAAGTACAACACGAGGAATACATACAATATTTACAAGTTCAGTGGTGAGAAATGATTGAGAGACTTTGTGTTTCTTGTCGATATTATATGCCTTCTCAATGATTTGAACCACTGCTTACTGGGAAAAGATCTACCTGTTCATAATCTTTATTACTGTGTGAAAGCTTTTGAGACAAAATTAATCCTGTGGGAAAGTCAGTTGCTAAATAAGAATTCCACCACTTTCCAAAATTGATGGAGTGTGTGAAGAACTCTACAACATGAAATTCAACTAATTATGTACAGTGCATTTCAAATTTGAAAGAGGAATTCAAAAGCAGGTTTTCCGATTTTCGTGAAAATGAAATTTTTATGAGAATATTCTCCTCACCATTTTCAGTAGACGTTGGAAGTTTTCCACCTGAACTTCAGCTAGAATTTATAGACCTATCAGTGTGACTCTGCAGTAAAATGCAAGTTTCTTGAAAATCCTGCATTAACCTCTTGAGACCCGAGAAGTAATTCCTCAATATTTTTATCTAATTTTTTGTGTGTGCATTTAAAATGGAACTATTAAAAAGAAGAAAACACAAAAAGTACATTTTGAAAATTTTATTTATGTTAATTAAGTGGTACATAATGGGTATCTTGGAACTACATGCATATAATGTCATTATAATGATGTAAAGAGTAAGTATATAGTTTTATATATATAATATATATAGTTTTTTTAAACAGTTAATTGTTTTGAAATTCAAAGAAGCAATTCCTGTTTTTTAAGTTACAAATCACATCTAATACATCTTACTCTTGATTCACCTGGGCATCCTGGGAGGCGACATTTCATTTGATTTCCTCTTATTACATGTTCAGGAAAGTGGCCAATTTGGTCATACCATACATCTTTCACTGGCAAAGGAGCAATTTGTTGACTTTTGATACGTTGAGGTCTTCCCTGTATCGTTTCTTTAGAAACTTCTACTTTTATTAAGCTCTGAGCTATTACAAGCTTGAAGTCTATCAAATGAAGTCTATTTTTTTGGAGGAATTTCACATTGCTTACAATGATGAATGCACATAATCCAGGCATTGCAAGTTGCCATATTCAAAAAAACAAAGACATGCATTGTACATTTTTTTTTTTTTTTTTGTTCATATGGATATCCGGTAATATGAGATTAGTTTGTCCATCATATCTCCCCCAGAGATCGATGTAGAGAATTCTGTGAAGCTACTGGCTAGGATCTGTAGCTAGGCTGTCTCGGCCACGTGGGTATAAAATTTATGAACTTGGTGGTTCTGAAGGCCGTGGGAAAGGTCACTCATTGGCCGGCCTCGAGGTCTGGCATGTCCTGAATGGTTGGATCCGTAACCCCGGTTTGCTTGCTAACGGCCATCTGCGATGGGGTCACCCATGCGACTGGCAGGAGCAATTGATGACCAGTGCTGCCTGGTGTCCTATCCAGGTGGTGTGCTGCTCCCCTGAAAGGGTAATAGTGGAGGTCCAACCTCCATGGAGTGCCCAAAGGAGAAGTGGACCTATAGTCTGCGAGTGCACGGAGCAGGAAATGCCCAAATCTTGTTTGTTTGTCCATCATATCAACACCTCCCATGTAAGTGTTATACACCCTTACAATAGCAGGTTGTCTGACATCTACTCGCTGTCTTTGTTCTTTTGCCCACCTCTTACAGCTGCTTTGAGGTTTGATACCAAATGCACTTGACAAAAGAAGACATTCATTTTCTTCAGATGTTAGAATGCCTTCATTTTCCAGATGTTCAGAATCAGTATCACTTTCTGGAATATTTTCGAAGTCTGGATAATCAATATCAGAAAGTTCCCCCATCACTTTGTTCAAGCAACACTTTGATTTCTTCATCTGTCAAATATTTTACTGAAAAAAATGAAAACAACATTTAGCATCATCGGTATACTCTGATTCCGAGGTACCCAAACGGGTACGTTCTTTTCTAAGTGAAAAAAATCGAAAACAACAACAAAGTAATTTTACAAAAATGCATGTAGAATAAAGCTTATAGACTTCTTAGTTGAAAAAATGAGTAAAAACTTAATAATTATAATCATTAATATTAAAAAAATAAATCAACTTACCTTTAGTCGGTCAAGACGCCATTTTCTCTTATTTTTCGATTTCAAAGCTGTATAAAATAGTTTGACATCAGTATTGTGCTGCACTCTTTTAGCAGACAGTAAATATCAGTTTTTTCCCAATTGGGTACTCTGGGATTTAAGTCAAACAAACATTTATTATTGGAGTAAATGCTAATGTACTAAAGTCCCCAATTGGGTCCCAAGGGTTCCAAGAGGTTAACTGATTTTTATTCGAAGTACATGACCAAAGACAAGTGTCCAGAGAATTCGTAAACATGCACTCTTCATGTCTTCTATCTTTGGGAGTACCTACATATGTGAACAGCTTTTCAGTAAAAGGAAATTCTAAAATCAAAAACAAGAACACGGCTGACAGAAAGACATTTTGAGGAAACTTTGTGAATTGTAACAACACAGATTAAACCTTTATATTGAAGCTTTAAACAAGCAAATACAACGTCAAATTTCACTTTAAAACTAAAGGAACTACCATCTCCTGCCAGTAATGTTTCTTCTTCTTTTTTATAGTAAATGCAATTTGTAATATCGTTCTGTACAACTATCTTTATACTTTTATGCAAGAAATTTTAATTCGATTTCCATTTGACTTTTTGGAACCAATGTCTATATATGTATATACAAATCTGTAATACTATCTCTTTGTTTAGAATCAATTGTAGTCTTGCAAAACAAACCTCCCTTTTTTATATAAATTTTCTGACTACACTAATTTTTTGACAGACATGTGGCCCGTGGATCCTTGTGAATTTACTGATGTGGCTCTTGTACCTATTGTAAAGGAAGGGCATTGGCCTAAGAAAATTTTGAGAATGAATAAATATTAATATACTTTAATGTACTTAAAGACAGTTTTGTTTAGTTTTCCCATTTCCATATATATTATTTGGTACTTACGTATTATCGCAACCAGGTTGGCGCGATTTGTAAGTTTGAGTAAAAAAGTATGAATAGAAAGAAAATGTACACTTATTAATTACAGATAATTTTTAATACAGTTTTTTATATTATTTTGTTTTAAAATATAAAATAGCAATTAAACCCTTACGGTTTCGAATTTCAATAAGTTGCAGAATTATTTTTTCGGCGGAAATCTTTTGGCTATTGCTTTTAGCACTGATTGAAAACCGTCATCTTGTGTGTGAACACCCGTGTTGGGATCCACAAAGTTATATTTGTGATTAACAGTTCCATGCAGAAATCCAGCATTTTTTAACTCACTTGTATTGTATCCTTTCCAGCAATCCGAATAAATGATGCTTCCTTCCTTGATATTTTCGCAAATTTTTTCCATGAGGGTAACGGCGCTTTTGTTAAGTACAGTAACCAAAAAAGTATCTTTCTTTTCTCGGCAAATTCCGCCAAAAACCCATTGCTGTGGTAGTACACGCCGAGTGTTATTTTTTTCTTTTTACAAAACTACGTATAACACGTAGGGTTGTCGTAAGTAGGGTCGCCAAATTTGGCGATTTATGCGAATTTTGGCCTGGTTGCGTTAATACGTAAGTACCTATTATTTTTCAATGACCATTTGAAATGTATCTGTCAGTTCCTCATCACTTTATATTTTTGTGGGAAAAAAGTGTAGAAAGTGATTTTTAAGGAAAGGATTCGTCCTAGGAGAGAGATCTTGGAGATGAGTATGGATGGAAGCAAGTTCATGGTGATGTCTTCAGGCCGCCAACTTACCCAACACTGTTTACTGCCCTTATTGGATCTGGTTATCAAATTACTGTCGTGATTCTGTGTGTCATTATTTTCTCCATTCTTGGCGAACTGTATACAGAGTAAGCGAATTTAGTTATTACTATGTGTAATTAAGTGTGAACCAGCATAAATTGTTGATGATATTTATGCTCTCTAGATCCTTTTTCTTTTCTTTTCTTTTTTTTTTTTTAGTATAAATCTTAGGTTAAATGCAGTTGAAAATTAATGTATGTTATAAAATGCTTGTGCATAATACTACTACCGCCTTTGCTTATTCTGTGTTCTTTCTTTTGAACAATTGTTTACAATTTAGTAGTTTCGTAATTTTGTGTATTTAAATTACTTGGATGTTATAGGAGCTTTGAAAAGAAACCAGAAATTGTATAAATATAGTTTAAGTTTCATTTATTTTAATTTTGATTAATCATTAATGATCTTTCGTAATTAGCATTCATTTGTCATATATTGACTAAAGATTAGATTCCATTAGTAAAGAATTTTGTGGGCTTTTTACTTCTTTGTACGAAGTAAAAAGGAAGTATTGTAATCGCGAAAAGTTTCAGGCAGCATATTTCAACGAAAATATCCATTTTGACCGCTATCGAATGCAATTTAACGATGTTTTTGCGTCATATCTGTACGTAAGGACAGAATAAAATAAACGTAAGTAAACGTATGTAAGGACAGAATAAAATACTCTTTTCCTTCAAAAAAATTATAAAACTGCTTTAAAATTAATTCTGAAGAGAATTTTTCGTGGCGTCTGTACGAGCGTATGTACGTACGTACGTACGTTCGTGCATACGTACATATCTCGCATAACTCAAAAACGAGTAGCCTCAGAACGTTGAAATTTTGTATATAGGACTGCTATAACATGTAGATGTGCACCTCGTATTTTGGTTGCAATCGGGCCGCACCAAAACGTATATAAATATATTATATATATCCACTCTATTACCCGGCTCAGTGATCTCAGTTTTCTTTACTCTTATATGTTTGGTAAATTGTACATTTTTTGCTTTAAAAATGATTGAATTATGTTGTTTTATCTTCCGGTTAAGGATTTTATGCCTTTAGTAAATCTGTGTGCAATATTTTTAGAATTATCAGCAATTTTAAAAGTTGTTTAATTGCCGCTAAGCTTGTTTTTTTTAATGGCGGCCATTGATTGTTTACATTTGAAACAGGAGACTAGTGGATTTGTTGCCAATCTAGAGAAACTTAGCTTCGCAACAACAAAGATAACGCCTTCATTTATTATTGCCAATTAAATCATGCTTAATTCTTTCTGGAATTTTTTTCGAGGAAATAAGCGTTTGAAGATTTACTTCGTAATTTTTAATATAGATATTTTGAGTTTTTATGTATTTTTGCCTTCTCGCGAAGTGAGAACTGAATTAATTAAATGAGAAATACTCAATCGTCTGTGAAAAACTGTTTCTTTTTTTTTTGTTTTGCTTAATTTCTTTTATACATAGTTCTAGCTTTATTATAGTATTTGAATAGAACATGTGGCAACGATTAGATAATTCTTTAAATGATATCAATTTTGTGCATTCTGAGTTATAATATGAACGAAATATAATACTGTTAAGTAAACCTAGCGCCAGAGTGTTGCTATGGTAAACAAAGTGAATTTTAAAGAATGCATTTATTCTATTGTGGTTTATGCGCTGTCGGTGAAGTAGGTTTAATTCAATCTAATAAGTTTAAATAAAATGCAAGAAAAAGTGCGTATAATTTAATATTCCGTACAAGGAAGTCATGTGGTGTACACATCAGATTTTTTCTTTGAAGAAATGCAGAGATCAGAAAAAGGTGAATCAATGTCCGAGTTATAAATGAGGTAATATTTTAAGGCCTAACTCGCAGATCCTTCACTGAATAGTTCTCAAATAATGTGAGGTTTTATGTTATCATGGTAAAGGTTTTTTTGTCGGCTATTTGTGCACAACTTCATTCTTATAGTCTTCCAGTGAATAATCCCATTCTGTTGGTCCAGTTGTTGATAATCAGTGTTAGAATCTATCAGGATATGGGAAACTTGTACTCTGGTTTGATATTGCATCAAATGGTGCATAAGTTTTTATTTATATTTATTTATTATTATTTATTATTATTATTTTTTTGGTAATGGCTGCTAAATCATGCCAAACATGTGTTTGTTTCTTTTTAGAGTCTTCTTTAAGTATATATAAAAAGCTTTTAAAAATCTTAGAAAAAATGAGATTTTTATTTTGATATTGTTCTTCATTGTGAGGACTGAATATATCAACCGAGTTGCTTTATTTTGATTTTTAGGAGAGGTTCCTTGCTCAGTACATCAATATTTGTATATGCTGTTACTTCACCTATTAATGGCTACTTTGGTGGTAGTTTATTTGCAAGAATGGGTGGTAAGTAAAAAATTGATTTTTCCCCTTTTTCAACATATTTTTGAGAAACTGGAATGTTTCATTATGTAATCACATTCCCATTTCCCATGAAATTTATATATTCACTATTATTGTTTCAAAATTATGAAAATTTGTCTATTTTAGGTAAACTGAACGTAATTGGAAAATATTTAAATGTATTTTTAACTTGAGTCAAGCACTCACTAACTTGAGAAAGCTTTGTGAGCATCATGCTTTTATGAATGATTTAAAGTGTATAATGTTAATGCATCTGTATTTGCTGAAAAAATATTATAATTTGGCATATTTTATGTAATAGAATTTATTTTGATCTTTTCATCTTTAAGAATCTTTCATCCTTACTCGCCTCCCTTAGCAGAGGGTTCTTTCTGATTATTTGTATCATATCAAAAAGGTGCAAACTGTATGCCGATGTTGAAGAACATTTACTCTCATTGCCAACTTTTGAGAGAAATGTTGATTTGGCTATTTTTATCTGTTTCAATGATGCAAGCAGCACTGTCTGTTTTTTTCTACATTCTTTTTCCATAGCAGACATGCACAGTTGTTAGAGGATATTGCACCTATCAGTTATTGTCGTCGCGGCGCGCAATGAACTGGAAGTTGATCTGTCAGAACTATCCTTATCTTCAGGGCAAATGTTTTTATTTTATTCAGCTTATAATTCCTTACTAAATGTAGTATTTCATCTCGATGTATTCCGTCTTTGATATGATTTAAATCAAATTCCTCGTAATTATAAATATCACAAGTACACATCAAATAGTTTTCTGGTTGCAATTTTCTAATTTCGACTATGCGTAATGTATGCTTTACGCATGGGCGCGTTGAAAGAAAAGTTTAATAAAGTAAACAAATAAATATTAAGCTTTTTTTTTTGTAAATTTTGATACCCTTTAGATCATAATTGCTCTTTATTTCATAAATTATGGTTTCATATTTTTAATTCTATAATTTCTGCATGCCATCTTACCAGATTTAAACTGATGATCTATTATCCGGAAAAATCGATAATCCAGAATCGCCAAAGTCCCGACGAGTTCGGATTAAAGACTTTTGACTGTAAAAATTTTTTTTGGTACTGCTCTGTTATCAGGACCAGACTGTGAAATATATGTGTGTATGCATGAATGTATGTGTTCATGTGTATATATGTACATACAAATATATATTAACATACATGCATACTTTTGCAAAATTTTGCTCAAGAGATTTGGGTCTGCAAAATAAATCCAAATGGCCATTCTCTTCTCTCAATTTGTTTGAATGAATTAAAAGATTAACTTGAATCAAATCCATGACAAACTATATGTGAAGTTATCTAGATACTTAATGTACATTTTCCCATTTACTTCATACACTTGACAATAGTAGGAAAAGTACAGAAGCTTAACAAATGGGCTCCTCTTGAAATAACTGATAAAAACAAACTGCAGTATTTTAAAGTCTTCTGTTTTAAAAAGAAAAAAAGGTTCCTACTATGAATTGTGATGAGGATGAAACGTGGATGTTTTGTGACTATCATACACATTTATTTTAGTTGTTGAGAGTGAAACATGCTGCGGGAAAGACTTCAAAAGCACATTTGCATCCAAAAAAGATGTTTACATTATGGCGGTCTTTTGATGGTATCATTATTACCCATTCCTTCCACAGGGTGAAACAGTAAAGAATGCAGCTTGATATTTTACGGACTGGCAAATATACAACAGATTTTGTTTTAAAAATTAATATTTGCAAATAAGCATGGAGTTCTGTTGCTTCAGGAAAGTATTGAACAATATATGGCTGTGCCAATCATATAGCAAATCAACAATTTTGGATGTGAAATTGTGCTTCATCCAAAATATTGTTCAAAAAATGCTTTGCGATTAATGCATTCAGTTTATTGGACAATGGAGGATTTTATGATTTCCTGAGACATTAACTTTTGCAAAAATAGTATAAATGGCTTTGTTTTATGTGGGTAAGAATGCATTCATGCCTGCTGGAGATTACTTTGGTTAAATAGGTATTTTTATTTTTCTTAAACTCTCCTTAAAACTAACAATTTCATTTGCAGTAGCCCAGTAAAAAATGCAATCTACAAAAGGTAGAAACAGGAGAAAGTATATATTTGTGATTTTGGCATGATATTGTATGGAAAATTATTTAAGATTGCTCTTAATTTATTTATTTTTTTTTTAAAGTTTTAGGACATAATTTTTGAATTTTTCTAGGTAAAAGATGGATTAAACAGATGGTTATTAGTGCATTTTTTCTGCCCTCACTTGTGTGTGGTACTGCATTTCTCATCAATTTCATTGCTATTTATTATCATGCTTCCAGAGCTATACCTTTTGGGACAATGGTAAGATATATTACTTAAATGCATACTGGTTTCTAGGCACATACGTTACATTCATGAAAAGATTTAAAAATAAAGAAATGAATAAGTTTTGGAATTATTTGCGTGTGAAAATTTTAATTTGCCTATAACTTTTTTAAACGATAGTCATAAAATAGTGAGTTTATAAAATGTGTTGTAGAAAGATTGCATAATTGAATATCTTTTGAATGGATCAAAGTGTATTTAAGTTATAGCAGTTTTAGTCATAGCCGGTCTTTCAGATATGTAACACTGGATAATTTCAAATACTGCATATTCATTTAATAATTGATTAATTTTTAATGATGTTCTTATAAAGTCATTTAAGCTTTGCATTATCTAAAATTTACTCGAATAATTTAAATACTCTCCATCAGATGAATTTTTTTTGGCTGGTTTAGTAATTTATTGTAGTAAGGAAGGAAATAAGGATCTAAGATTACATCAATAAAATTTGAGATTTTAATTTTATTATTTGTAAATTTTTGTGTAAATTTGTGCACCGAGTCTATTAGCTTTTATCTCAGAGCTGTTTAGTCATAACATTTTTCAAGTATTCATTTTTAATATGTTTTAATGATATATATCTTTCCCAGAATCATATTGAAACTTAGATTGATTTTTAAAAAGATTTAAAAATTACATTTCTTTTTTAAATGGAAAAAACTAAGGAAAGGGAGGGCCGGATGCATCACATGTGATACGTTAGAACCAAATGCAGTAAAATTTAAGAAATAATATTTAATAAATAAAAATAATTTAATATATTTACTTTTATACTGTGTATGTGTACTTTAAATCGTAATTATTTTTCATGAAATCATTTAAAATGAGTTCTAGAATTATTTAAACTCAGGAGCACTGTATGAGCCAAACACCATACTCTAGTTAATGTGATTTGCCCTTCCCCTTTTTTCTTTTTAATATCTACTTATGTGAGTCCTATCACCAAATATTTTGGACATGGATCTTAACACGTTTACTTTGTGTTTAATTTATATTGGAAAGGTACTGGACATTTAGCAGGTAGGTGACTTGCTATTTGAAAATTAACAGATGGGCAAATAAAAGAAATTTATGCTTATAGTTTTATTCCATTATACCACAAGATAGGCTAGCTAGGGCAAAGCACACGAGGGATATTTGCCTAAGGGGGAGGGATGCTTTCATGGAGGACTTTCTAAGGAAAAGTGTCTTTATTTATATTACACATTGAAGAAACCACAAAAACCAATCATGCAACCATCCTGTTTGCCCGTGTTCAAACCTGCGTTGAACTACCAGTATTCAGCAGTCTTAATGACTGAACTTGCTAATGGGGCCAATTATACTACTAGAAAAAATGAAAATATCCCATCTAAAAAAAAAAAAAAAAAAAAAAAAAAGATGTTTAGCTATACAACCAAGAATATCTTGGTGCAGTTTAACAGTCTTTTAGGGATGAAATGATAGAAATCATTTATTGGGTGCCTGTTCACGATTTTCATTTTTTTTTTACCATTTCCAAACTATCAATAGTTATGATAGGGTGGGAAACTTTATCAGCATATTAAAAGAGGAAACTTTTAAATATAAATTTTAATTATTAAGTAAAGTTTATATGATACATTGATTTTTTTTTTTTTTTTTTTTTTCAAAATCCTTCTGTATTTTTTAGTGCTGGTTTTCTCCCCATGTGCACTGTGATCTGTTTTTGCTTTAAAAAATCACAGAATTCCACAGACTCATTAAAGTGCACTAGCTGTCTACCAAACTCATGTCATTGTTCCTTTTAGCAATTTTGTGGTAAAATGTATCCTGCAGAGATGTTAAAGCATTTTTTTCCAATGCTGGAAAATCTCACAAGTGACATTTTAAGATTGAGTTAAAGGCAAAAAATATCATGATTTATCTAAAAAACTGTTGGAATTTAGACTTAACAAAAAGAATAGATAAAAAAATGGCAATGTTGTTTGACTGAAGGATTTTTATGAAGCCATGTTTGCTAAAGAATGTTTTTGTTCATGGTTTCCAGAGTTAGGCACATTCTGAAATTTCAGCTACTTTTGAGATTGTTGCGAGAATATGTAAATGCCCAAAAATGTTTAACTTCATGCTTTTGTGTTTAATGAAATTAAATGTTATTTATTAAGTAATGCATGTCAAAATAAACATGCGAGTTGTCCTCAAATGTTGTGTACAGTTTAAGGTTGCCCGTGAAACAAAACTATGCATTACAGCTTACCAAGAGCTTGTACACATCAAAGATAGACATCACTGGATGCATGCAGGTTGTCCAAACTATATTCCAGTTCCTGCCATATATACAATTATGTCTACCGTGACATGTTTGAATGCTGCAGCAATGCATGTTAGGTGGTCATTGATAGCTATGACTCCCATGTTATGGATTATGTCCTGAATAAATCTCCATAAAAATTAATTTCTTGTTTATTGAAACTATGATGGAGATATCATTTCTGTTTACTGGACCCTCTAGCTCTATTACTTATTACAGTTTGAAACTAAGGTACCGTTGCCAAACTTTAACAGTTGCCTGTCTCATTTCTGTAAAAAGAAAACATGTTTTTCTTTTGTTACAGGATAACCAAGTTGTATACATCATTAATGAACATCTTATATTTTTAAAAAGCTTAATGTTTTTGGTTAATTGGGGAGAGTGTACCATAGCAGCATGAAGACATGACTTCCTTTCAAACATACTCAATGTAGAGAATGAAAATGAACTTGTTTTTCACTTGAAAATTAGCATATTAAAATTAAATTTAAAAAAAAATGAGCATATTTTTATGTTTACTATGTGAAAGGTAGTTTTTTCCACTAAAGGTATTATGCGATGTATTATGACAGGAATATCGCATCACATGTAAGGATAATGTATGTTTTTTTATTATTTAAATGCATTATAAGAGTATTATTAAGATTAGATATTTTAATATATTTCTTAAAATATTATTTAAGTTATAAAGATATATTATTTTAACACTACAAGAACATGGGCTTTTTAATTATTCACCAAATTATCTGTATATTCTAGGTTGCAGTTACCTGCATCTGCCTTTTTGTCATTCTGCCTCTAACTCTAGTGGGTACAGTGTTGGGCCGCAACCTGTCTGGACAACCCAACTATCCATGTCGTATCAATGCAGTGCCAAGACCGATCCCTGAGAAGAAGTGGTTTATGGAACCAGGGGTTATTATCTGCCTTGGTGGCATCCTGCCTTTTGGTTCCATTTTCATTGAAATGTAATGCATTTTTGTATCTCTAAATGATTACTTTTGATAGACTAGTTTGTTTTTGTTTTCTATTCAAGTAATCTAATAAGATACAATAACACGCCGAACAAATATTAATTTAGAAGTCAAACTACAAAAATCAGCGTTATAATTTCAAATTTTCACAGGTGAAAATTTGAAAATATAACGCTGATTTTTTTTTGTTTGACTTCTAAATTAATCTAATAAGGAAAAATGTGTGTGAATGAATTTAAATTTACATTGTGATTCAGAGTGCAGATTGCAATGTTTAGTTTATGCTCTTTTAATGGTAATATGTATTGAAAATATGGTTTTTTTTATAAGAATATGAAGAAAGCACTAATTGCAAAAAAAAGTTATACTTTATGGGAGATGATGTGAAATTTTTTATTTTTAAAAATTCTAATTAAGTTTAAAAAAAAAAATAAGCTCTGCTATATATATTTTCAACTCTTCTATTTTAACCTGGAGATTCATGGTTTTTCATCATATCTTCCAGTCGCCCCAGTAGATTATCAAATCTCCCAGTTTTCAATAGCCTTTACTGAGCCTTTACTTACTTAATTCTTACTTAATTAATTAATAATTACTTTTTACTTAACTTAATTAATTACTTTTCAATAGCCTTTACTTACTTAAAATGCTACCTAGCAGTAAATGATATTTATTAAATTAATGAAACTTAAATTCTGAAAATTCTATTCTCCCATCCTTAGTGATTTCTAGCATAATTTTTCTTATTAACTTTCATTTGATCTGAATTATTTTTTTTTGTACCGATCTGTGGTATATTACTAAATTTATTTACGCAATGGTATGCACATTAATTGTTAGTTTTATTTCCATCATATTTAAAAGTAATTTGATAAATAAGAAAGAGTTTTCCTTCCTTGCTCATGATTTCTTAGTTAAAACTATGAGGAACTTACAAAATGAAATTATCCAAAAATCAACAAAATTTAGAATATAACACTAAATCTAAATATATTTTACATCAGAACTACATTAGCTTAATAGCATAATTCATGCATTATGAAGTGAATTTAAGTTAATTTGGGGTTCTTTTCAAATGTCATTATGTATCAGGAAAATTTTCCAAAAACTCTTGGTTTTTCACACAGAAATCTTCCAGTTTTTTGTGCTTTTAAGGTTGGCAGCTATGGTATATATATGATATATATGTAAGTGTAAGATATGAAAATTAATAACTTAATTGGCAAAAGCCCTTTATGTCCCCCTTCAAAGAGATTGTAATGTGTCCTTGATGTCAGTATTTCTTCTGCAGTTTGAAAACTCTTACTTAGTCATTATTCAAGATACAAAAGAAGCTTCTTAATATGCAGCCATTTCCCCCCTCTTTTTGAAAGCACATAGTTAATCGCTTGGCTGTTTTCAGCTGTTGCATATACAGCATGTTTCAAAAATCTGGGAACATTTTAAGAAATTTATTCTAGCCAAATGAGTAGCATTACAAAGTAATGAAGTACATAGTTTTAGAGAGTAAAGTTGTAAGTTTAGAAAGTGAAGAATTTTACCACTTTTCAAATCTTTCCTTGGTGAAAAAAAGTATCATGACATTCTGATTTATTGTCATCACTTGCAGGCATAGCATGAAAACTTCAATAATCGATTTCTAGACATCCTTAATGAGAGGATTCCCATTTGGATCTTGGATACATTTTAAAACGTTGAGGAATCAGATTTACCAGCGTGAGACTAAACAATGGAATTCATAAAAATCGTAGTACTAAAACCACAGACAAGATAGCATGAGAGCTGGGCATGGAAGCAAATACCATCAGCGCCTTCAGCGTTATGGGAGTGGGGAACGAAACTGCTTTGCTCTGAGGTTGTAGCGACTCGGAAAACTTTTAAGAATGTCTGGTTTAGATTAACTAAACAGGTAGTTGAATCCTAAATACGTGATTATATAGCATGTTTCAAAAGTTCAGGAACACTTTAAAAAAATTTATTGTAGCCTAACGAGTAGCATTACAAAGTAAGGAGGTAAATCATTTTAGAGAATAAAGTTGTAAGTTTTTTTCAGCAACACTTACTTTACAAATACTATATGTGGGAACTATGTAATCCTACAAACATTGATGCAGTATTAAAACTGTTGCGACACACGGCACAAAGTGTCTTCCGAGCCTGTGGCTGCTACTTCTTCAATTCTCCTTTTCAGTTTCATAATATCACCTGGATGAAGAGGAACATAAACAAGGTCGTTTACGAAACCTCATAAAAAGAAATCACGAAAGGTGATCTAGGGACTTAGGATGCCATTTCTGTTGCTTCATCCCGACCAATCCAAAGATTAGGTAGCTTTGTGTTCAGATATGGTGACAATAAACAATAAGGTGAAAATGTAGGGGTGCACCAAGTAACTGAAGAACAAAGTTATCTGATTCAGTGTGCAACAATGGCATTAACCATTCTGCAAGATCTGAAGGAAGGGCTATGCAGTAACAGTTTGTTCTTCAAAGAAGAAAGGCCCATAAAGTTTCTTGTGAGACCGAAAAAAAACCATTGACCTTTGAAGAATCTTGCTCCTGTTCAGCTATGTTATGTGGGTTTTCTGTTCCCCGATTTCTACAATTGTGCCTGTTTACTTTCCCATTTGTATGAAATAGTGCTTCATTAAAAAAAAAAAATATTGAATTCGCAAAAACATCATTTGGGGGGGGGGGAACGACGCGCCCAATGAACTGGAAGTTGATTTGTCAGCACTGTCCTCATTTTCAGCGCAGGTGTTTTTTTATTTTATTCGGCTTATAATTCCTTACTAAATGTAGTGTTTCATCTCGATGAACTACGATATGATTTAAATCAATTTCTTCGTCATTATAAATATCATGAATACACATCAAATAGTTTTCTGGTTGCAATTTTCTAATTTCAACTATGTGTAATGTATGCTTTACGCATGTACACGCGTTGAAAGAAATGTTTAATAAAGTAAACAAATAAATATTAAGCTTTTTTTTTTTTTGTAAATTTTGATACCCTTTAGATCATAATTGCTCTTTATTTCATAAATTACGGTTTCATATTTTTAATATTATAATTTCTGCATGCCATCTTACCAGATTTAAACTGATGATCTATAATCCAGAAAAATCGATAATCCGGAATCGCCGAAGTCCCGACGAGTCCGGATTAAAGACTTTTGACTGTAATATATTTATGATTTGCATTTAATGATAACACGAAGAAATATTTAATTATTTACTTCATTTTCTCAAATATAGTGAGCCATCTAGTAAGTTCTGCAGTTTTTGGATGATGAATACAAATGAAGCAGTACAAAAACATGAAATTCCATTGGATCACATAAGTGCCTTTTTGTTCGATGACATTTTGCCATTTCTTTGGCAGCTGGAAAATTTCTCTTTTCTGGGCAGTTTGCTTTTATTTCTGCTTTCAAGCCTGTGTTATGGGAACAATATTTTTTCAAATTTATCACCTGATTTGGTGGCAGTAATTTATACTATGCACTTCCTTATATTCCCTCCACACACAAAGCATTATTTATTTGAGATTCAGTTCCCTCTCGATCTTACAAAACAAGATTCTTTTGGCCTACACTAGTGTGCTTTGCCATAATCAACTAAACCAACCAAGCCATCTTTTGGCCTACCTCATGATCTTTTTCTTGTAAATTTATTATGTAGCAACCATTTGTCATCTAATGTATTAAGCCATTTTTTAAAAAGGAGTTTTATTTTGTTTCAGCAAAGAATTGCATGCCAAAACTTGAGCAAACATATTTTGCTATTTTAAAATGTGGAGTACCCATTATCTTATTGGTTACATACCCAGCTTCTTTAAATGATCATGTACTGTACCATTTGGAATATTTAGTCTGTCTGTTAGTTCATGTATGAATTATAAAATGTAGATTTTTAGCGATACCTTCGTTTAATAGGTCCTTGTTTACACAGTATCCATAGCAGGTATCATCTTCAAGACTGAAATTTCACACTTAAACCTCTCAAATATCTGTATTATCAGAAACAGCATTTTGTCCGTATGTAGCAGAAATTTTACCAGATGTCTGACTAGAAGTTTTTCCTCTTTTAAAATAAAAGAACGTAATGTGGTAGACATGAAGTTTTGGGTTTTCTGTTCCTAACACATTTTCATTGCAGCAAATATTATGCAGTAACATATGCTTGTATTATGGATTCTGAGCAGAAAAGACTGTATTTAAACATCTGCTTTTATCTTTATTTCTATTCTTATCATTCATTTGTGCTTTTGCAGCTGAGGATGGTGGTTCGGTAAAACCATCGAAACTAGTCCTGTGAAAATTTGAAAATATAACACTGATTTTTGTTGTTAGACTTCTGAATTAGTATGTTTTTAACATTTAATGAATGCATGGCATATTTTCAGTTTTACTTAATTAAAATTTGTTTTATTCATTGCTTATAAAATTTCAGAAAACTAGAACAGTAGCATGTTCTTTGTCATTTGTATGAATGTGTAAATTTATGTATGAATATCCTTTAAATCTTGTTTTTATTTTTGTGTTCTAGGTATTTCATATTCACCTCATTCTGGGCATACAAAATTTATTATGTATATGGCTTCATGTTATTAGTGTTTATTATCTTAGCTATAGTTACTGTTTGTGTCACCATTGTATGTACTTATTTCCTGTTAAATGCAGAAGACTACAGATGGTAAGCATCTTTTATATTATTCAGTATTAAAAGATATATTGATATAAATTTAGAATTGGTTTTGAGAATGCAGTTTTTCAATGATTGTATTTCTTAGTTTAAAACCGTAATAAGCGTATGCGGTTTTATATTTTATGATTAAAAAATTTTACACCCTTATTATTTGTGCTTAAATTTACCATATGATATATCAATAGCCAAACTATTTTTTAATTTCAAACTATTAAAAATATAACATTAGTTGGTAGTTTTTTTAAGATTCATTATCATCCAAAGATTAAAGATATTATGTATTGGATAAATGTGTGTGCACTAATGAGTACTGGTATTTTGTCCCACATTTGGTTCTTGGCAGATGGGTGATTTACATGTGTATTACAAATATAACCCAGTTCTCTATAAATGTTTTCCATAGTGTAATTAATTTTCTCCAAGAAAGAAAGCCTTCTCTTGTGTTTCATGATTTCCCCACCAATGGTAGGTGTTTAAGACTACCAAATACTGGCCGTTTGATCTGATTTGTATTCAAACCCACACAAACAGGCTGGTTGCATGTTTGGTTTTCATGGTTTTTCCCTTGGGTAACATGAATATGAACCAGCTCCCCCAAAAAGTCCTCTATGAAGGTGTCTCTCATCTTACGCAGATGAATGGCGTAGCTTTTCTGTATTTAAATAACTTAACCTAATTAAATGCTTCATGTGATTGGTTAATTAAGCAATCACAGTTTAGTAGCAGTTGAATATATTATATGGAATTATTGCTTATGGTTGATCTAAACGTATTGTATAAAACCCCATCAATTTTTCTTGGTGGGAAATTTTGTTACTCATAAATTCTGTCTAGTGCTTTTTCTAATTTCTAAAAATTTTGCCCTTCTTATTTTCGTTGCTTTGTGCTCTTCTAAATTCTAAAATTTTTACTTTCTCTAAATACTGCTGCCCATTGCAGCTTTTGGCCCCGGCTGTGATAGGGGGTTAGCATTCTTCTGCCAGATCTAAACAGTAAGCAAATTCCCAATGTTGCTGCAACATTTATCTTCCCAGATTTAAATTAGTGATCTAAATTCCAGAAAAAAATCTCTGATTTTGTGAAAAAATGCATAAATTAAGATTAATATAATTAAGAAAATGTATTGTTAAATTTTAGTTATAAATGATATGAAGAAAAGAATGATATGAAATCTTTTATGATACAAAGAAAAATTTTTCTTTAGGCAATGGACTAGTTTTCTGTCTGGTGCATCAACAGCTGGCTATGTATATATGTATTCATTCTATTACTATTTCTTTAAAACCAAGTAAGTTTTTCATATAACTATCATATATTTATGAGATGTAAAATTAATAAATGTATAAGGTTTTATATATACATATATATATGTTATCCCCTTCAGTGATTGTTCTTTTATATCTTTTCAGGATGTATGGTCTATTTCAAACAACTTTCTACTTTGGATATATGGCATTATTTAGTATTGCACTTGGTATATTATGCGGTAAGTTTTATCAGAATTGAAACTTACAGAAATATTATATGTTTGGCCTAGATTCTGTTATATATTGTGTAAAGAAGTTTAAAAAAGAAGTAAGATTTAACTTTTTGAAGACCAAAACTGCCCAGATGGCTGAAATTGTGAGGTCGTTTTCTTCTTTTCACTAAGGTGTGCAGTAGCAGGTACAGTTTTCCCGAATGCATTCTATCAGTTTATTGCAGGCAGCTTGCCTTAAAAAGATTTATTTGTGGTTTCTTATCTTTATTTGTTAGAAGTAGAAAGAATATCACTTGCAATCTTCACTCTTCTTTGTGCGCTAATGGTTGGGATGGGAGGAAATTGCTGTGACTCAGGAAAACCATTTCGGGTAGTTCGGTATTTTAACATACAGATTAGCGAAGGCTTTGGTTTTGAAAAAATTATATTCCAATCCTTCTTTTCAAAAGCTGAATTTTGTCTTCAAATATAAGTTACAACTTAAATCTTGATGATTGATATAAAAGAAAAAACTTTGTAGTTTGTTTTTCCACCATCGTGAGGCTATTTACGCAATTGTTTGTTTTACAGTTACTAAAACAATTGTAGCAGTTTCTTAATACATATACAGGGGTTGGACAAAATATGGAAACACCTTTAAAAAAACATGTTTCTTTGCTTAATATGGTGTAGGAAACCCGTTGGCATCCAAAACAGCTGACAGTCTTCTCGGAATGGATAAATACAGTTCCTGTATGTTTGCAAGGGAATGTTATACCATTCTTCCTGCAAAACGGTGGCAAGTTCAGATAACGATGTTGGCGGTGGATAACGAGAATGCACTTTCCGTTCCAATGTAGACCACAAAGGTTCGATAATATTCAGGTCTGGTGACTGTGGTGGCCAGGGGAGATGGGACAACTCATCCTCGTGCTCAGAAAACAAGTCCTGGACAATGTGAGCTGTGTGAACAGGGGCTTTCTTGTCTTGGAAGACACCATCACCATCGGGGAACAAAGTTTGTACCATTGGATGAACTTGATTGGCCAAAATGTTCACATAAGTCTTGGCAGTCATGTGCCCTGACACAGTTATCATGGGGCTAGCAGAGAACCACGATATGGCTGCCCAAACCATAACAGAACCCCCGCCATGTTTCACTCTTGGCAACAAGCAGTCTGAATTATAGGCTTGAGATGGCGTTCTCCAGACGTAAACTCAGCCAGAAGTGGGAAACAATGTGAAAGAAGACTCGTCAGACCATATTACTCGCTTCCACTGCTCTATAGCCCAGGCTTTATGACTTAAACACCACCTTTTCCTGTTACGGGCATTAGCATCACTGATGAGTGGCTTCTCAAATGCAGCATGGCCAGCAATTCCCTGTTTATGAAACTCCCTTCTAATTGTTTTGGTATTCACAGGGTTCGGTAACACAACATTCATTTCAGCAGTAACTTTTGCAGCTATGGTCTTCTTATTTTTCGTCACAATTGCCCTTAATGATCGTCTGTCACGATCATTCAGGACACACTTTCATCCGCACTGTGATTTAGCAGATGATGTTTTTCCGCTTTTCAAATATGCGGAATAAATCTTCGATACAGTACCTCTTGAAACACCTCAGCTACCTTGCTTACGGAAGCACCTACCATACGTGCCCCAACAATTTGCCCACGTTCGAAGTCTGTTAACTCTGACATAATGCAATGACAACCTCACATAACAGTTCTCCGACAACAACTGAACTGTTTAGCACATTTACGATGTTGTGTAGGTGGCATCAGTAGTAAAAAACGCCAGCGCCACCTACATATTTCATTAAAATCAATCTTTCTTTTCAAACATGCATTTTGCAAGGTGTTTCCATATTTTTGTCCATCCAATGTATGTAAGTCGGAAGTACGTTAGTACTAGGGTCAGTGTTTAAAGTCATGGTTTGTCCAGTTAAAAGAATTCTGGGAAGAAAAATGACCCATGTTATAATTAACCAAAAAATTTGCTTTAATTATTTGCCTGCACTTTCTAGCAGTTTAATCTTGCGAGTAAGTTTATCTAATTACCTAAATTAATTTTTAACAGATGATTTAACCCTTTGATTACTAACAGGACATACATGTCCTACTAAAAGTTTAAAAATTACTGCTGGGTTAAAAATTGCTTAGAAACTCACTGTAACATATCCCATTCTTAGAATTAAACCAGTTGTGCATGTTTCATCTTTTGTTACCCAGTTGGTGCTAAATATTTTCCGGCCAAATGCCATTCAATTTGTTTTAAAAAAAATTCTTAGTTAAAGGATTAACAATGTTTATATATTTTGGATTACATATAATTAAATTAATACTGTTGCATATGAAAATGGCTCCAGGATACGGTGACATCGCCTGTTGCGCTGTCACTGCTGTTATTTCACATACCTTTTCTCGCATTTTCTGTAGAGAGTTTTATTTTGTACTGATTTGTAATAATAACTTTTTAGTCATTCCAAATAACCTTATCTTTAAAGATAAGTGTAGGTTAATTGAAGTGGAGGATATTAGGATACTGATAAAATAAATGTATTTTTGTATTAAAATGGTAATACAACTCTGCGCTGATTTAAATGTGATTGAAAGCAAAAAATTGTGATTATTTATCAATATATTTTTGTACTAAAATGGTAATACAGTTCTGTTTTGATTTAAATGTGGTTGAAAGCAAAAATTGTTCTTTATTTGTATTTAAACATATATGATTGCACATGAAATGTCATACCATTTAATCACCCTGTAAAATTTTTTATATATACAGATACTTTTACATATATAGATACCTTATATATACCTCTCCCGTTTCAGACGGGAGGCTACCTTTTTCTAACTGTTCTTCCACCAACCCGATTTACAATATATTTCATCTGACTTTCTCTTATTCTTAAAATTTCTCACTATTTTTATGTAGCTTGGCCTAAGACTTTATTTGCACCCTAAAAATAAGTGATTTTAGGCATCTGAAAGCACTTGGCTTTATCTCTAGATTGTATATTAGAGAAAATCAGAGTCTTTTCATCAGTAAGAAATTATGGCATGCTTCTGCTTTGTGAGTGAAAGCACATGCATATGAAAACATCGTGTTCCAGTTATCGAATGAGCATCGAGCGCCATTCCATGCAATCTGGCATGTATTAGCAAATGAGCACAAAGCCAGATTGAGGTTGTTATTTCGATTTGTCACCGAGCAGTGTGAGTGCACATTCAACAAGCTGTAAAATAGCACAGCTAATATTTAAAACTTTAAAAGAAAATGCAATTCCTCTGGACAATTGCTTGAAGACTGGTAGGTGTTCCAAGCATCTTAAAAAAAGAAAGTTCATAATTGCAAATTATGAGGTTCATTTGTCACGTCTAAAATTTATCTGCTGAAAAATCTGTGTGGTATGGTAATCTGTGTATCAGACTTAAGTGTCTCATAAAATAGCAGTTTGTGAGATGGCAGATAGTAGCCAGCTGAATGTTGAACAAAAGGTTAAAGTTTTGCTTTTGTTTTAATGTTTTCTTAAAAAAAAGAAAGAAAAAAAAAAGTGTGTGCTGGTATGATAGAGACCTTTTTGTGCTCACTTTGGTAGAAGATGGGCTGCTTGCAAATAGACTATTCACAGATTGTGTTAGCAATTGGCTCTGTGTTGGAGAAGAATTAACAACATGTTTTGAGGATTTGCTCACCTGAAAATAGCAGGTCTCCCTTTACACACTCAATGGTTAATGCCAGATGGAGCCTGGCCATATTTTGCAAATGACCTTCTTGATTTCTTGTACGAGATTAATGTGACTGCAATATCACTTCATTTTCCTGAATGTTACAAAGATGGGAGACAGTGATTCTCACATATTAATTTGCTTGTTTCTTTTAATTGGAATTTTTCAAAACTAAGGTATTTGCAAGGAAGCCTGTAAATGTAACTCTTACTGTGCAGCTGTGTCATGCAGTTTTGGAAGACATGCGCTGATGAGTTGTGACAAATGCACTGGTTCACTTTGAAGTGGTTGCAAACAAAATATTGGACACATTGAATACATTTTGCTGTAAACTCAGTTTTCCCGCTAAGACTGTATTCATTTGGTAATATTTTGATGATAAATAAATGTCTTAATCAATAAAACAAAGGGTATGATATTTTATGTAGCACCTTGTAACTAAAGTGTAATTATTAAAATTATACTAAATATTTATAATCAAATTTTGTAAATTAATGTAAGCATATTTTTAACAGGCACATTTGGCTACGTTGGAACAAGTATATTCGTGAGAAAAATCTATTCGACTGTGAAAATAGATTGAGCACTATCATTTTGTACATATAGGTGATCAAACTTCAGAAAACTGCTGCCATATGAGCATATAAGGAACATTTAGTAAACATTCAAATAAATTATCTCCTGATTATTGTGGCAATTGTATTTGATGTGATGCCTGGACTTATGGCATTGGATTTTATTTCATTGTGGCCATGGCTCATCATGAATGCACTCTGTGCAATCTAAAAGACTTTTATGGGATTTTATATGACAGTGCTATGGGTTTTTGATGGTAAATTGTGATTTTCTTCCTTTATAATGTTATCTTTATGGAATAGAAGGAAGCTCACACGGAAAGAGGTCATTGGTGCACCCCCCCCCTTAATAATTTTTTATTAATATTCTGTCATTAAAGCACAATTCTTGAGTGATTTAGGTTACAGTAATTTTTTTTAAACTAAATTAAAATGTGAAAAATTATTAATTGCCCCATGTTTATTATTGACTTTCAAAACTTTAAATTATATGAAGGCTGTAGCCTATGTTTTATGTGCATTGTGTTCAGACTAATCTAATTTCCTGAGTTTCTGGCTTCTGAAAGTGTTTAAATGTGTATGTTATGATGTTATACAGCAGCAGCTTTATTTTATTATTTTTATAATTTATTTTTAAGTGCAAAAAGTAGAGAAGTTGTTCATCTTTAGTATTAAATATAAAAGATTTAGAATTGTAATTAAACTGTTGAGAATTGCATTATATGGCAAGATGCAGTATTTGCAAAACATTTTAATTTTTGGGAAGAAACAATTTGTTTTGTTGCAGAAGAAGGCAGTTACTGGAAAAGTGTAATTTTAACAGCTTTACAAACAGGTAGTAATTAAAGGCATATTGAAAACATCAAAATTTTTTATTTAATATTTATAAAGTTATATGTATCTGTAAAATAAGCAGAATAAGTATATTCTCTTAACATTTTTGTCTGTTTAAGACAATATAAAATCCAGATAGCACATTTTAATGTAAACAGTATCTATTATACGAGTAGTTAAAAAGGTAAATTTTTAAACATTTTGAAAGCAATTTTTTTGTTATTATTTTAATATGAAAAATTAAAACACAAGCTAGCATGTTCTGAAGTCTATGTATTTTTGTTACTTTTAAACAAGAAACTATTTTATTACAATATTATGTTTAATAAAAATTATGTTCTAGCATTAGCTGCTGTAGTAAAATATTTCTTTGTAAAAATTTTAAACTAATGTTAAAATTCATGGTTTCATATTTAAAAATTAAACATGATTACACTGTATAAAGTATTTTGTATTTAATTTTTATTGGTATTATCTACCTAGCAAATCAGTAAGAGAAAATTAAAAATGCCATTCTAAAAATTTCTGCGTATTATTGTTTATTAATTCAAATGATTGTCTTTTTTAAAAGATGTATATATATTATATTTCCAAAAGTCTTATTAGATGTATTTCTTTAAAATTTGTTATGAGCAATTAAATGAACCTGAACTGTGTAAATGTCTCAATGGTTTAACGAAATTCCGTCATAAATTCATTCATGATTATTATTTTATTAAAACTACAGTAATGTGTATTATTATATAATGCTTAGAAGTATAATGTGTAAGATGCAGTTATGTAATTTTACATTTATCAGCCAGTTGTAAAAAGTAGCCTTTATCAAATATTTTAATTTTATATCTTGTCAGTTACATACTATGAAGAAATAGCATTTATAAAATGTATACTTGAAATTAAGGGCACCTCTTTTTTTAAAAAAGATTCAATATGAGTTTATTTAAATATTTATATTACCTCATAAGCTATATTAATGGTCATATTATACTTATATGTGTAAGTTCATGTTCCATAACTGAGATAAAAAAAATGTAAGCTAATTTTTGACATTTGTATTCTGTTAGCCTGCAAGATATTAAAAATTCAGTTTTTTTAGACTAAAAATAAATTCCAAAACAACGTTCTAGTACTTCATTGTTATTTTAGTTAAACCAAAATTTTAAAAAAGAGTTTATTATTTTCAAAGATACTGAAGCCATCTTAATCCAAAATATATGTAGATTTTTATTTGGACTACTTCATATATGATAAACAAATACTATTTTTTAATAACCTAATTGTAGATCATGTTTTCATAATGAATTTAATAGATTGAAAAGTAGGCTTCCATTTTCTAACCAAGTATATGAAAATTGTTTTAAAACTAAACTTTAGGTTAATGAAATGCAAATTATGCATGTTAGTGTTGTAGGCAGGCTTGTGTTTGTTTGCAAATCTCTACACTTAACTATAAAACATTTGTAAAAAATCTTAAAATTAACAATTCTTGCTTGTTCTGGATTATTGAAAATGGCATAAACACACACATACACAAATGAAAGAAAGTATGTAACACTACATAAATCTAGTATCATTTGGGTTAATTAAGGAAAAAATTGAAGTGTAGGTATAGATTGAGATTTGGATAGATAATGTTTTTTTCTCCAGTGGGACTTTTTCTGCAGATCTTAGCATGATGGATAAAATACTGATTTATTCAACTTTATTTTTCAAAAATTCATATAAATATTTTTCAGGGTTTTATATTAACTTGTATTTTATAGTAATTTTTTCCATCTATTTTTTAATAAATTGCATATTGTTTAATTTATTTTGTATGTTTTGGTATTACGTTATTTTGTTATTATGGTTTAAGATGCATTCTTTAGAAAATGAAGCTTAAATATAGTAAGCGTTTTTAAAAGTGTTATATTTTTGTTATATAGATAGTCATAAATACCAAATCAATATAAATGCCATTACTGTTTGTTTATAAAAGTAATTATTTTTACAAGACTATTTTTTTTTATAATGTTAAATGAACAGTGGTAATACAATGCATGCAGTTGACATAAAAATTTCATTCTTACATAAAAATTCTGGTGCTGAGATAATTTTTTAATTTATTATATTTGGGTTTATGAACTGATGATTACTGAGGGTTATACTGTTGTGAATTTTGTAAGTCATGTTGCATTCATTTTATATTTAAATTCATTCTTTTGGTATATATTTTTAATTTTCAATGTCGCCATATAGGAATTGAAAATATATACCAGTCATATTTTTGATTTATTTTTTCAGTTTTCAATAATCTAAATAATGAAAATAAAAATTTTGAGGCAGCTCTATGCTGCATCATGTACAGGTTAAGCATGTGTCCATGTTTGTTGCAGTACATGACTATAACTACTGGAATGCATAATTCTGAAACCACAGGGGAATGTAAAGTAATTTTGTACTATATATGTAAATATTCCTCTATAATTGTTAAGATTAAAAGAACAGCAGAACTTCAGTTGTGAGCCCCAATAATTATAATTCCCTGTTTCTTTTCAAAGAAATTTGCTAGATTCCTTCAATGTATGATTTTTTTTTTTAACCCACAGTTTTGAGTTCCCCCTTCCCCCCCAGTTGCTGGATTTTATTTACAAAGTATTTAATATTTGCAGCATGCATATACTTAATTCATGAATATGTGCATGTTTATATAAAGTGTAAAAGGAAATTACAGTTGTTAGTGAGCTTGATATATTTTTTCTGGCATATCATAGATAAAATTCTACATACAACAATCTTAAGCATTTGTACAATATTCAATTTCTAGATCACATCTTTTATATTTATGCTTAAAAAATTAGCAATATTCCACCGAGTTTTAGTCAGCATTTGCGTGATATATTTTCCACTTGTATTTTGCATTGTTATGCAATTAAAAAAAATATTGCAATTTTATTTTCAATGTGTAAAAAGTAATTTTTTACTATCCCTGTAAATATTCCACATGTATTTTAAATGCGAAATGTATTTCTTAGTATTTTGTTGTATAGCTGATGTAACTATTGACTTGTTTCAACTTAACAAAATGCTTTTCTTATGCAGTAAAATAATTCACTTTGCCTATTTTATTTCATTGTCATATGGGAGTAATAAATAAAATGTGACTTGCATACTTTATAGCAAATGTTTAACTTCTTGTGTTGTTATCTGTAACTGGAAGAAAATATTACAGTTTAACATTTTCTCGTATTTTTCTATTCAGAATATCACAGTTGAAAGTAAGTTATAATCTGAATCTATAAGGTGTGGTTTTTTATATGGAAATATATCTATTTAGTGGAAATGTGGTATTACCCAAGGTGAAACTGAACCCAAAGACACATCTGTTTTGGTTTTGGGCAACCCAGTACAATATTGTCTTAAAGTCCATGTGTTTCATTTACTTTGGGTCCGGTTTATCTTGGATATCCCTGTATTTCATCACGGGATTGAATTTCCATAAAAATATGCCTTCTAATGGGAGAAACCTGAAACTAAATTATGTCTAACTTGCTGAATGTCCATTTCAGACAGTGTAGAAGTTTTTGCAATAAAAAATAGTGAATTTACTGATAGGAACAAAGCAGTATTATGAGTAAAAAAAAATATTTATATTAAAAACTAAAGAGTTTCTGTGGTAATTTCTAAAAGTATAATGTGCTTTGAATAACTCCCAAGAGAAACAGATGCACGTTTTAGTGTATCGACTACTGTATTGACTAAAATCTGTCATTTCCTGTCATAGAATAAAACTGATCTACTATGTTTCACATATGCTGTTTTCTATCAAGTCTGGCAGGTTGTTAAAGCTATATTGGCATGTCATACTCTTCACGTAGTTACAAAGTCTAGTGAATGCAGTGCACATGTTACTGCAAAAGACTGGTTGATCACTCTTTTGTTTGACTTGTGATTGCTGAAGTGAGAATCCAATATGGAATAAGCTACATCACACACAAAAGTTGTCTTGCTGAGATACTATTTTATTTGAAATTGTTGGATAGTATAATTTTATGCTATTATTTTAGATGCTGTTTTATTAAATTGCAAAATATTGCTGGAGAATTTTCCTTTGAAGAAACATTAACTGATCAGAAATTTGATAATAAAACAAACCCATTTGGTTTAGTTTGGTTTACTTGATTATAACAAAGCACACTATGGCTATCTCACTAAGAGGGAGGGATGCCTGTTTGGAAAATTTTCTGTGGGAAACTGGATCATATCCACATCACAGGTGGGGAAAACCACAGAAATACTATGCAACCAGCCATGTGCGGGAAAGTGATCCAGGTCAAATTATCAGTGCCCAGTAGTGGATCAAAACCAGGTCATATAGATTCTGGATTATTTTGCTGGTAAGCAGAAAATCACTAATTGTTTTTATTAATTTGTAAAAATTGAACTAATTTGATTGTAAGTAGAAAATAGCATTGCATACCTACCAGCTGTCCCAGTGTTTTGTCACATCTTCTGATAGATCATATAATCTCACGGTTTTTTAATTTTCAGTCTTGAATTGTGAAAATGTTTTTCAGAAATAAATGAAGTTTATTGAGTTAATGAAACTTGAATTGTGCACATGTATTCCTCTACCCCTAGTGATTTTCAGCAAAGATTTTCTTATTAAATTGTATTTGATCTGAATTGTCTTAATCTGTGGGCATTTGTAGAATTATGTATGTTAACCAAGTACTTAATCAATAAGTGTTTGGATTTATTTAATTTTATCTTACAATAGCATATAGTGCATTACTAAGTTAATCCACAAAATAGTATGTATAATTCTTAATTTTATTTTTAATGTGTTTAAAAATAATTTGATAAATTAAAGCATTCCTTCCCTACTTGGGATTTTTGAAATGTAAGAGTAAGAAAATTACTAAATGAAATTAATCAAAGAATATAAAATTTGAGACATCTAAATGAATATTAATGTATTTGATGTCAGAATAATACGTATGTCAGTTGTGTAAACTGAATCGTGTTATTATAAGCTAATGTAAATAAATTAAGAAGATAACTAATGTTTAGTCAGCTAATATTTAGTTTTATGTCAATATATGGAACATTATGAGGTTTATCCAAACAGTAGTATATAAGTTAATTATTATTTTGTTGTGCTTACTTAAAGAAAAAAAAAAAAAAAAAAAAAAAAAAAAAAAAAAAAGCGCATAATTCTGAATAGAGGAAATTTCCACAAATGAATGTAACGAAGAACTGAGTATCAACATGTAAGACACATCTCATTTTTCAGACCTATTTTCAAAGACAAAATGTGTATCTTATACACAAGCCCAAATGGTAATTTAGGTCCAAATCAACAAAACGTCCTTAATTTTACTCATCAGAAATTTTTGTCTATTTATTGCAACTGCCATTTTGAGTGTAAAATAACATTTTGGAAGAATATTTTTTGAGTCATTCACAAATAGGTATTTGATGGGTTATTTGAATTCTTTCCTACTTCTTAATAGGGCACAAAAGTCATGCCTCTATTGAAACAAACATTTTGAAATTTCTTTTTTGAGGATGAAGAGTTCATATAAAATATTACATAAAAACACATCCTTTCCCTTTTTGAGATATATTTTCTTTTATTATCTGGTACAACATTAGGCAATGTATTAACATTTTGGCAGTTTCAAAATCATTGTATACAAAAATTTTAATCAGGATATTTGCAAATATTTCAACAACTACTTTTTACAAAAATAATAAAATTGATAAATATCCTTAAAATAATGATAATATATTAAATTTCTAATTAAGAAATAGCATTAAAATTAAACATTTTTTCCCATGTCTTATTTTAAATTCCTTTTCATTTTGGCGAATTAGAAATATGTTGATTCTGAAAAATAAATAAGATAATAAATGCTTTGAAACTCGCTTTTCAACTGACTTCTTAGCAAAAGCAAAAAAGCTGCTTTAGTGATTTTAAAATAAATTTAATTTTTCTTTTATATTTTTCATTATAGTTTTCCCCCCATGTAATCTCAGAATATTCAAATATACAGGGTGTTCACAATTAAGGAACCCTATTTCAAAGCTGCCTACTGACAAAACTAGTCATCAGAAAATCATTAAATTGTGTGGCAGACTTAATAAAGGGATGGGAATGTTTTCTAGAGAGAGAGGGGGGGGGAATCTGAAAGCTTTCAGATTTTATATTACACCCAAATGAGTGTTTTTTCATTTACAGATTTCAAGAGCATTTGAGCTAATGTCATGTTATGCTAAAAATATTTGAAAAAAGCATATCCCTAGAATTTCCAATAGACAGTTTCACACGCTAGAGATAAAAATGTCTCATTCGCTAAAAGTGTTGCCACTGCTTGCTTTGAAATTGAGTTTTTTAATTAAAAATTCATTGAAGTTTTACAAAATCTGAAATAGACAAACAAATTTGGGCTTCCAGGTACCCACATTCAGGTGGAGAACTATGTTGTTCAAAATTGGATGACTCTCAGTATTGTTTTTTCACAATACGAGAAATATATGTTCATGTAGATTCTTCATTATTTAGTTTCTTTAATACAGGGCGATAATATTTGGTGGCAACAATTTGAAGAATGATTCGATGCAAATTTATAATAAGCTGTTATGACCATGTCTTTATTAGTTATCAAATAAAAAGCATTATAATCATATTTCATCTATTCTCTAGGTAAAATGTAATTCTTGGTATTAAAAACATTTTTTTTTAAAGCCCAAAGGGGCATTAGACCCAAAGGCCTATTAGTCTCAAAACGGCATTTTGCGTCATTTCACTTTTCAAACTGTTGCCACCAAATATTTTCGTCATTTATTACATTTAAAGAAACTAAAATGAAGAATCTGCATGAATGTGTCTCGCATTGTGAAAAAACAGTGGTACCTACAGCCATAAAATTTTGAATTTTGAAGGCAAGATAGAATGTCTTGATCCTTGTTTCGAAGTTTATCATATTACACTTCATTTCTGATAAGTATTTTATAAATATTTTGTGTATTTTCATTAGTATATACGTTTCACCATTATAGTTTATAAAATAAATTTAGGTCCAAATCAACAAAACGTCCTTAATTTTACTCATCAGAATTTAACAAAGATTAATTTTCAAAATTTTTCTTTTATATGATTATTCTTCAGTTTAAAATTTCCGACAACCTTTCTTTATGAGCTATGGAAAAAAAAAAAAAAAAAAAAAACTCTTTTACAAAAACTTTTTGGTATATTTTAACTCTAAAATATATGTAGATTTGAAATATGTTATTAAAAAATTACACAATTTTCGAACGTATTTTGATAAAAAATTTTGCAGCGCGAGGGTTAAACATTAGGTACTATTCTGTTATAGCGGCATCAGTTAGAAATGCGCCGCTTTTTTTTCCCCATCAATTGTTGCAAAGTATAAAATTATGAAATAATTATAGAGTTCAAAAGACTTAAAAAAATTCGTTCTGTAAAAAGTAATTTTTTTTTTTTTCAATTTCTTAGTTCTTAAAGTAATTTTTTCTCTTTTAATCTACAATATTCTACACATAAATAAAAAATAGCAAAACAAAGTGAAATTAAATCTGAACAAGTGGCATAAAATTACAAATATCATTCAATATTGCAGAAAAAATTTCAATTTTTTAATATAATAATTATGTTCAATTTGTTGTTGGACAGCAGAAACTCTTCCTTTGATTCGTTGTTCCACAACAGAAACTCTTTTTTCTCTTTGTTCTTTGACAGAAAAAAACATTTTCTTCAGTTTGTCCAACTTTATTTTCAACTGCATCTATTCTGCCTTCCTTAGCCTTAAATTTGTTGTCTATTATGCAGGTAATTTCTCTTTTCATTTCTTCTTGTCCTGCTTCATCTTTTCTTGAATGGCTCATCTCTTTAACTGATTTTTAACCAGCTTTCATCTTTTTTTTAACAGAATCTTGGCCAGCGATTCATCCATTGCCCTTGTCACTGGCATTCAGTCCCACTTCTGACACCAAAAAGTGTTGCGTGCGTACGGGTTCGTAATAGGTTGAACGCACAATTCCGATAATAAGTTAGTAAAGTTTATTCTTATCAAAAGAAATATATCAGAATGCTTGAATTTTTTTCAGAGATAGATATTCGCACAAGTGTTCACAATATTTAGCAATACAATCG